GCTGAATTTGAGCTGTTGATGAAACTGGGAATTTGTCAGCCGTCCAGAAGTAATTGGGCAAGCCCACTGCACATGGTCCTGGAGGCCATGCGGCGACTACCGCGCCTTAAATGCAGTTACGGTACCCGATCGGTACCCACTGCCCTTCCTGCATGACTTTACACACATACTTGCTGGTAAAGTCATCTTTTCGAAAATAGATTTACTGAGAGCCTTCCACCAGATCCGCATCCACCCAGAGGACGTTTGTAAGACAGCCATTACAACTCCATTCGGCAAATGACCTTTGGATTTCGCAACGCTGCGCAAACGTTTCAAAGGGTCTTAAACGAGGTTTTGCATGGTATTGAAAACATTTTTATCTACTTGGATGACATCTGTGTGGCTTCAGGTTCTCAAGACGAGCATCGTAAAGATCTGGAGAAGCTCACCATAAACGTCGCAAAGTCTGTTCTTGGCGTATCAGAACTTGAATTCTTGGGGCATCTTATTAAAAAAGATGGTATTACGCCGCTTCCAAGCCGCGTGGAGGCAATAACAAAAATTAAGCTGCCTACTGTAGTTAAGGACCTGAAACGCTTCCTCGCTATGGTAAACTTTTACAGGCCATTCTTGTCACAACCGCTTCTCCATCTAACGCCGCTGTTAAAGGTGGTCCCGGGGAACAAACGCAACGATAGAACTGCGCCAGCTTGGTCTAGTGAGAACATTCGCCATTTCGAAGCTTGTAAAGAAAGCCTTGCGAAGTGCACTTTACTTGCTCATCCTATACCTAATACGACGCTCTCCTTATGGGTTGACGCTTCGGACAATGCCTGTGGTGCTGCTTTACATCAGGTAGTCAACAACACGCTTCAGCCCTAGGTTTCTTTCAACGATCGTTTTCAAAAGCTGGGCAATGATACAGCACTTACGATAGAGAGCTTACTGCAAAGCTCCGGGAAATGCGTCACTTTCGCTTTTTGCTAGAAGGACGAGAGTGTCACGTATACACAGACCATAACCCATTAATTTAGGGTTTTCAGCTGCGCCCCGAGAAAGCTTCCGATCGCCAAGCTCGTCAATTAGATTTTATCGCGCAGATATTCGGCACGTTCCTAGTCAACAAAACATTACAGCAGACCTCCTATCTCGTATAGAATCCATAACATCGGAGTCGCTTAATTGCGATGATCTAGCAGAGGACCAGACCAACGATGAGGAACTTCAATCTTACATAAATGGTCAACTAAAGCCTTCACTTAAGCTAACATGCTATGTTCTACCTTCAGGTACGAAGAGAGTGCATTGTGACAGCTCAACTGGCCGCATACGACCATTTATTACAAAAAGATTTAGGCAGGAATTTCTGCGAGCAACACACAATATCTTGCACCCAGTCATGCGAATTACGTCAAAGTTAATGACCGAACGTCGACATTGCTTAGCGGCGTTTAAACGTCGTGAGTGCCCAAATCAGCGCTTTTCGCATTTACATATAGACATCGTTGGGCCGTTTCCTATATCTGACGGTAAACGCTACTGTCCCACGGTAATTGATCCGTTCACTCGATGGCCAGATGCTATCGCAATACCAGACAGCACGGCTCCGGCAGTAGCTAAAGCTTTGATTGAGGGCTGGATAGCTCGTTTCCGCGTTCCAATTGACTTCACGTCAGATCTTGGACGCCGATTCTAAAGCTCCTTATTTCAACAACTTTTACAATGTCTTGGCGTTAAACATCTGCGGACAACTGCTTACCATCCGCAAACCAACGGCATAGTCGAGCGATGGCACCGGACAGTAAAGTCCGCAATATTAGGCCACAACCTCGAACAATGGACAAGTTTTTTACTGCTAACTTTGTTGGGATATCGGTGTTCATTCAAGATTGACATTGGCGCCTCACCGGCGGAATTAGTTTTTGGAACTACCTTACGTTTACCATCGGAGTTCTTTATTGATGGCAGTCGACCGATCAGCGAAATGTTAATGACACATCTGAAATGGTAACACATCTTTGACATGTCATGAGGAATATTCGCCCGGTTGATACTGCCTGGCACACAAAACAAAAATTCTTCGTACACAGTGATCTTGCGACGTGTGATCAAGTTTTTGTTCGAGATCTTTCTGTTCGCCCATCATTATCGCCACCTTACAAAGGACCGTACAAGCAGTAATCGGACTTAATAAAAATTCTGTGTAGTAGATTCTGAAAAAAAATGTGGTAGGTTTAGAAAAAATGTGGTAGATCTCAGGTTTCGGATCAAACTTTTACCAAAAATTTAAAAAAAATCGGCAAGGTTTCACCTTAACTGAAAACTTTATACTTCGAATCTCTAGAAAAAACTTTTAACTTGGATTTTGCCAAATTTTGACAATCCTCAAGTAAAAGGAAACAACGCGTTAAAAACTTTAGATGCACTGTAATGTGCTAATTTTTTACAAAGATCGCAGATTTTTACATTTTCTTTATTAATTCTTTTTATAAATCATATATTTTGCAATTTAACACAATAAAGTCAAGTTTCCCGACGAAAAATTTAAAATTGAGAAATCGATTGTTTGACAGTTTCTTTTCTCCTCCCATTCGGCTTGTTTACTCATCGCCGCCGTGAATGCGAAATCTTGTATCCTATCATTCTTGTTATTAGGGACACGAATTTCGATATTTTTGCCATTCGATACCATTACTTTTTACTTGAAAGTTTTCAAACGATATTTTTTGGAATCGTACGTATCGAATCGTAAATGTACATTACAAAGTTACTGTTAATAATGATACATTTGTATGACAATGTTTGAAATATTTAAAGTTATTTTTCCAAATTCCAAAATGTAAAAATTTGTCCTTACTAAAATTTCTATTGAAAGTTTTGTTGTTAATATTGTTTTTAAACATTCCATTTCTTGCAAATCTATGTCGTACTATAACCTTACTAACTTTGGAATTTATATGTAAAGCAATATGGATATATTTTGAGCTTTAAAGCGCAGAAATGTGAACTATCTTAGGTTGGTATGTGGCGCGCCTTCAGTGATGTACTCATTAAAGTGGAAAGTGTTAATTCTTTAATAGAAAATAACACCAATATTCAAATTTAATTTTTTTAATTTTTTTTCGATATTTGGAATATCGAGTTTTTTATTGCGATATTTTTACAGCTCGATATTTTTACAGTGATACTGTAAATGAGTACTATTCGATATCCTGTCCCTACTTGTTATCACATAGTGTTTAGTGTTGGACAATTTTTGTTCTTAAAATTAAAAAATAAAGAAAATCATGTGGAGCTAAATTATAACTACTCAAAAATGCGAATATGTGGCAGATTTCTGACTTTGTGTGGTAGATGTGGTGGGTGCTCCAAAAAGTGAAAGATCTACCACAATGTGGTAGAAGTCCGATCACTGCGTACAAGGTATTAGAACGTCATCCTAAATACTTCGCTGTCAGCGTCAACAACAACAAGGTGAACGTCTCCATTGACCGGTTAAAGCCAGTTTTCATTGCCACACCCTGCATCTAGGAGGGGAGTACAGTGGGGACACCACTACTAGATTAACTTATTTTAAATTAATTTCCTAATATCGTATTTTGAAATGCAACTCTGCAACAATGTTAAAGTTTTAGTTTAGAATGCAACCATGTGTGACATTTTGCTTTTGTTAATTTTTCATTCTCTCTTTTTTTATATTTTCGTTTGGAGCTAATAAATTGAAATGATTTTTGGTGTCTTTCTTTGTGGATCGAGCCATACCAGCGAAATCATCTTTTTAAGAGGAATTCACAAGGTATCCATATATACATATTGCTCGGCGTCGGCCAATAGCCGCAGAAACAGCGCATTTCCAAAGACAGCGGTGCGAGTGGTAAGCGTGTTTAATAGTTTTTTGTGTGTGCGTAAAAGGAAGCACAACAACTTATCTGCGTAGAATTATAACCCTTACCAAATATAATCGTCCTTTTGATGTGCACCAACTGGGGCTACCGCCCAGTGATGTAACCTTGGGAAAGGATGAGGTAACTATAATTCCCTTTCTGTGTAGTAAACCTGGGGCTGCCGGCCCATTATTAAATAAAATAAATTAAATTAAATTAAAGATTAAATAAATATTTGCCATGGAAAGGTTTATATTTTTGATGCTTACTGGGTTATATCTTATCTTCTTTTTCCTCTAATTTTTTGCATATTTTGGAGTTCGACAGCTGAACTCCGCTATTTAATTTGCATATGCAACCAAAGTCAGACGCGTGATTTTGAAGGTGTTTTTATTTAATGAATTATGATTAATTGGTTAATATTAAAGTCATAAAGAGACAAAGTTATAAGTAAAGTGTAAAGTGAAGTGACTGCTTTAAGGAGAATAGGAGTGATAAATGTACGCTAATTTTCGAATTTTACAAAAAAGGGCATATTTCAAACCCAATTTGGAAATAACTTAGTGACCAAAAATTACAAAGGTATGTGCAAAAATAATGTGTAGACCCTTGACCGCAAGTGAATGCAATTTTTTTGGATCGGGTCACACCTTTGGACGCAATACCTCGAAATAGTTAGGCCACGTACTAAAGAGTACCCGAATTCTCCTTTTTGAGTTGCCTTGTTAAGTGTATAAAAAGCCTTCTGACATCGTAGTATTTTTGACGCAGAACTCTTTCCGCGTAGGAAGAAGTACTTTTGATCAGAACTTTTTTCTACGTAGGCGGCCTGCGGCCGCGCTTAGGGATTATAACCCTCACAAAGTAGAATTCTATTTTTGTGTTACGAAGAATAGCAGTAAAAGTATTTTTAAGCAGAACTTTTCTCTACGTAGGCGGCCTATGGCCGCCCTTAGTAATCATAACCCTCACAAATAGAATACTCTTTCTGTGTTGCGAAGAAAAAAAGCAGAAGTATTTTTGAGCAGCACTTCTTTCTACGTAGGCGGCCTGCGGCCGCGCTTAGGGATCTTAATCCTCACAAATTAAAATTCTCTTTCTGTGTTGCGAAGAAAATAGAAATAATTTTCAGCAGAACTTCTTTCTGTGTAGGCGGCCTGCGGCCGCACTTAGTGATTATAACCTTGACAAAGTAGACTTCTCGTTCTGTGTCGCGAAGAAAAGAAGCATAAGTATTTTTGAGCAGAAATTCTTTCTGTGTCGCGAAGAAAATGAGCAAAAGTAATTTTGAGCAGAATTTCATTCTGCGTAGGCAGTAGAATTGTGTGTCTGTGTTGCGAAGAAAATGAGCAGATGTATTTTTGAACAGAACTTCTCTCGGCGTAGGTAGTAGAATTCTCCTTCTGTGTTACGAAGAAAGTGAGCAGTTATTTTTAAGCAGAAGTTATATCTGCACAGGCGGCCTGCGTCCGCGCTTAGGGATTATAACCCTTACAAAGCACAATTCTCTTTCTGTGTTGCGATGAAAAGGAGCAGAACTTCTTTCTGCTTAGGAAGTAGAATTCTCTTTCTGTGTTGCGAAGAATAGGAGTAGAAGTATTTTTGAACAGAACTTTTCTCTGCGTAGGCTGCCTATGGCCGCGCTTAGTAATCATAACCCTCACAAATAGAATACTCTTTCTGTGTTGCGAAGAAAAGAAGCAGAAGTATTTTTGAGCAGCACTTCTTTCTACATAGGCGGCCTGCGGCCGCGCTTAGGGATCATAACCCTCACAAAGTACAATTCTCTTTCTGTGTTGCGATGAAAAGGAGCAGAAGTATTTCGAGCAGAACTTCTTTCTGCGCAGGCAGTAGAATTCTCTTTCCGTGTTGCGAAGAAAAGGAGCAGAAGTATTTTTGAACAGAACTCTCAGGGTAGGCAGTAGAATTCTCCTTCTGTGTTGCGGAGAAAAGGAGCAGAAGCATTTTTATACCCGAGGGCACTTGTGCACAAGGGTATATTAATTTTGTTCACATAACGGTTGTTTGTAACAGCCTAAACGAATCGAGATAGATATAGACAAATGTATACATAAATGATCAGAATGAAAAGAGAAATCGATTGAGCCATGTCTGTCTGTCCGTCCGTCCGTGTACACGATAACTCGAGCAAACATTGAGATATCTCAACGAAATTAGGTATGTAGGTTTCCCTTAATTCAAGGTAGGTCGGTATTGAAAATGGGCGAAATCGGACTGTAACCACGCCCACTTACCATATAACGGTAATTTCCAGAAATACGAAAACTGCAATATTTTAGTAACTACCGAAGATAATTCACTCAAAATTGATATTTACAATAATTTTTAGACGAAAAATAAGAATATTATAAATTTTTGGAAAATGGGCGTAGCCACGCCCACTTATGGTT